AAAAAAACCACTTTCCCCTCTGTAGGCAGGATTCAAAAGCAAAAACACAACCCCCCTCAACTGGACTCAAAAATTCCTCCTCCATCTCTGCCATCCAGTTTGGAGAATAAATTGTAAATAAAATATAGGTTTGTATGTGTGGGGGGGGGTGCAAATTTTATGCATCAGCCCATATGTGATGGTCCTGATTCATGGGCCTTTCATGATTAATTTCAAGAGTAAAAAAGAAAATGTTCTTAAACTGCATGATGTGTTTTTGATGTACTATATAGGTTAGCCTTTATAGTCTGAAGGTACAGATGGGACATGGTGGGGCTGCGGGTCAATCCGCAGAAGTCTCTGTGCTGCAAGGTCAGAAGACCAGCCACATGATAAAGTGAGCTCCCGTTGCTTGTCCCAGCTCGCTCTGCAGCTAGGTACCTAAACCACCGAGCTGTTCAGTCAGCTTGTGTGTACTTAAACTCTTGTAAAATATTACTATGGTGTGATGGGCTTCACGTTGGGCCTAAGTAGATCTGAGGTAAAAAAGATTGACTCTACAATCTGCAGATCAGCAAAGTATTGCCCTGGAATTGCACATGGCTCCCAATGCTGCTTCTATGGCCCATGGGCCGCTGCTGGCCTCCTCTTTGCCTGACAAATAAAATCGGTTGCAGATCCTGGACAACTCCAGGAGCAATACTTCACCTTTCAGAGGTTTAACACTCCAAAAATATCCATTTTTCAAAACTGAAGTGGACATCTAGCCCCTTCTTGTTTCATTCTCTCTCTTTTTTCTCTGTTTTTTTGTAGTTTCTGTGGTCCCCGAGGTTCTTGGGGCAGAAAATTGGCCTCCAGCCCAAAGCTCTCTAGAACCCACTTATCTGTCTTTTTGGCAGTCCAGAAAGAAGTTCTACAACATAATGGAAATAAATCCCTTGTTTTCCTGACAGCTTTCTTCAGTGTCCAGCTTTCACACCCATACATCTTAATGAGGAGTACCACAGTATGATCTTGGCCTTGGCCTCCAATAATCCATTTTTTATTTCTTTAACATCTGCGCTTCCAGATCTATTCACTGGCATATCCCTCTGGGTTTGATGGAGTTGTTTGCTAGAAAAGATAAGCCTGTAGACTCATGGGGACAAGAGTCTTAAATCAAACATCCGTTGAATGCAGAAATCATAGAATGGCATTAATTACAACAGAGGTACTGTATGTGTCATTTTGCTACTTTGGCCATCTCATGAGAAGAGAAGACTCCCTGGAAAAGACGCTGATGTTAGGAAACTGTGAAGGCAGGAGGAGAAGGGGATGACAGAAGACAAGATGGTTGGACAGTGTCATCGAAGCTACCAACATGAATTTGACCCAACTCCAGGAGGCAGTGGAAGACAGGAGGGCCTGGCGTACTCTGGTCCATGGGGTCACAAAGAGTCGGACACAATAAAATGACTAAACAACAATTGTCTAGTTGCTTCTGACTTATGGTGCCCCTCTGAATTAAGGAGCTCCAAAAGTTCCAGTCATTAGTAGTCTACCCTTAGTAGGTGGTACTCAATCGACCTCACATATAATAATAATCATATGCTATCAAGTCAATTCTGACTTATGGTGATGCTTTCCAGGCAGAGAGTACTCAGAAGTGATTTACTATTCCTTTCTTCTGGGGGTGTCCTGCAACTATGCAGCTTGTCAAAGGTCACATAGACTGGCTCTATTTGCAGGATGCACCATGCAGAATCCAACTCTCAATCTCTGGCTCTGCAGTCAGATATTTAAACCACGCATCCTCATTTCTTACTGAATTCAACTTTATCTAGCATTATTGTATTTCCCAGTGAGTCTTGTCTTCTCATGATATGATCATAATTACAAAAAGCATAATTTCAATCAATTTTGGTCATAGTGAGAGGTCAGCTCAATTTTCTCTAGAACCCACTTATCTGTCTTTGTGGCAGTCCAGAAAGCAGTTCTCCAGCACATTTGAAACAAATCCCTTGCTTTCCTGACAGCTTTCTTCACTGTCTAGCTTTCATACCTGTACATCTTAATGGGGAGTTCCACAGTATGATCTTGGCCTTGGCTTCCAATAACCAATTTTTTATTTCTTTCACATCTGCCCTTCCAAGTTCCAGTATTCTGACTTCTTGGCTGCAGTCTTCATTTTGATTTATGACCGAAATAAGGTATAGGACATATTTACCAATTTTTATTTCTCCATTATCATTGTTAAAGTTATGTAATTCTTCAGAAGTCATTGTTTTCATCTGTTTAATATTTGACTCTAACCCTGCTTTTGTGTTTTCTTCACTAACCTTCTTCATTAGTTCCTTCAAGTTGTTGCTGCTTTTGGCTGGTAACATGGTATCTTCTGTATGTTTTAAATTATCCTACCAATTTTTACTTGTCCTTCATTTGAATCCTCTTGCTTGGATTACAGAAAAGGAGGGCATTGCTGATGTAAATACGTAGGAGGCTGCTGGCTTTTAAAGTTTGTGAATTCTGCTGAACTTTTAATGTAATAAGTTACACTCATGTCCCAGATATGCTGTTGCCACAAGTCAACATCAAGGCTTTTTCTGATGTGTTACAATAGCAAGCTAGGTGAAAATTATGGGTGTGTTCCCATACACACCCTATTCTGTAAGTATATAACTATTTGGATTTATTGCCAAGAGCTCAAAGCAGACAACTGTAATTATCCTACACTGTTTCTTCCTTTCTCTGTCTATACCTAGTTAGTAAACATCTCCTAAATTAAAATAGCTCACTGGATAGCTCATGTATCTGGCTGCAAAGCCAGAGATTGGGTGTTTGATTCCCCAGTGTGCCTCCGGGGAAAAAAGCCAGCCTGTGTGATCGTGGGCAAGCAGCATAGTCCTAGGACACCTCCAGAACAAGGGAATGGTAAATAATTTCTGAGTATTCTCTACCTGGAAAACCCTGAAAAAGATCACCATAAACCAGAATTGACTTGATGGCACATGGCTATGTGGAGATCTCTATTATTATTAGATTAACAGAGTATACAACTTTTCACTCTATGGGTTGCATTAGGCATTAGTTGGTTGGCTGTGGAAGAGTCAGGAGCTGCGTACGCACTCATGTGCACCATAGTGTGTAGGGATTTAAAGCCCACTTCTCTGCCCATTGTTATCAATAGCAGAAATGGAGAAATTCTTCCCTTACTCCCAAAAGTCCCAGTCAGAACCAGTCAGATTAGACTTCAGCTGAAGTTGCAAACACCTGTAAGGTCAAAGGTTCCTCACAAAGATTGGTTAGTGGTGATGAAAGTTTTATCCCACATGGCCAGTGATCACCAAGCATGCTCTTCTTCCAGAGTTAGTAGTCCCATTACATAGCCTGCAGCCCACCCGAATCAGAAAGAAAAAGTGGATTTGAGTCTTTTCAGTGTTGTGGTCGACACAGAAAAGGCTCAAAGGTCACAGTTTGAGACTGCCAAATTAATATAAAGCAGGAAAGGGTGTAGCTGCAAACTTACTTTCTTTGCCTTGCATCCATAACATGCAACTTCCAATAATCCAGAGGCTGTATTTGTCCCCTTATGGATCATGGCAGATCCGTCCCTCAAAAACTGAATCCAAATTACCCAGAGACATGCAATTTGTAGCCCATGAGCCACACTCTGCCCATCCTTGTTCTTAAGGATGGGCAAAGTGTTTGTCCCTTATCATTGAACATGAGGTGGAAGCTGTTACATATTTCTTGGTGTTGAAGCCATGACAAGGGCTTTTTTTTTTCATTTAGCCTACAGGAGCGATATCCTTAAGCCAACTAAAAAGACATTGAAAAGTGTGCATGTCTTCATTCCTCTATTTTTCAGCCATGATGTGCTATGAGTGAGAAATAGGTGGGCAGAAAAGGGGTAAATGGTTGAATTTTAAGCCACAGTTGGTCCAACAGCTATTTTTAAGGTTGGTTGACCGCTGAAGGATTGCACTTTGAAAGAACTGTTTTTATCTCCTGAATCATGATAGTTTATATTTTATCTTGAGATATATGAAACAATAAAACAGGGTTTGTCAGTGATAGAAAGGTACTGTATTAGATATCACCTGATGCAACAGTCAGTCTTAGACAAAAAGCTAGAAACGTCTAGTAGCCCATCTTAGATAAAATCTATTTTCACAGTAAACTCAAAGTATCTATCATGTCCAAGCACACAGACTCATTAGAAAATGAATAAGCAAATGTGCTCAAACAGGATGGATAGAATAGTGAATAAATTAGATTAACATCCTTGATGTTGTGGTGGTCAGTGATGGGCTAGGATTCAAGGGGCTGAACAGATCACCTTCTATCATTCCATTTCTCAGCCTATCCTACCTTACAGACTCTAGAACTCCCTTCTACAGGAAGCCAGACTTGCCCCCACTGGTGCTGTCCTTCCCTAAGCAAAGACCTTTCTTTTCAGACAGGCTTTCCCCTTAAAGACTGGCAGTCTGAGAGGTGTTTTTTTTTTAAACCTTTCTTTTCAGACAGGTTTTCCCTTAAGAGACTGGCAGTCTGAGAGGGTTTTTTTTTTTTTTAAATGCTGTTGCCCCTTACTGCTTTGAATCTATTTTTGGTGCTGATTTTGTTTATAATTTTTAGTGTGGTATTTCTTTGATTCTGTTTTAATGTCTGTATACTTCCTATTTTCAGCTTTTAAATGTTGCTATTTAACGATGCAAGCCACCCTGGGGTCCTTTTTAAAGGAGAAAGGTGAGGCCATAATATTTTAAAGAAATAAGTTAAACGAGTTTTGCGGATAACCCTGACCGCAACATTGCCCTGCCCTCTTTGGAGGCACCAATATAAATGTACTGTAATACGTGATCAGAGCAATTCTAGTGTACCAGAATTACTAAAGAATCCAAACCAAAAGTAGAACCCACGGTACCCAGACTTCGACACAACCTTCAAATTACAAGAGGCCCCGCTCCACAGAGACAACCTCCCTCCGCAAGTCATCGCCAAGACTCCCGAAGCACGGAGGCGGGGCAGCCAGTACCTACACGCCAACTCTCCTCCTCCTCCTCCTCCTCCCAGCACCATCTTTGTCTAAACCAATCCGGAGCCCAAGGAACGCTCACGTGACTCTCACATTCCCACCGAGAGAAGGCAGTTGAAAAGGGCGGGCCAAGCAGGGCCACTGCAGCCCTCGTCTTCTAATTGGCGAAAGCGAAAGATGCGCAGGGGCGGGTGGAACGCCTCGGCCGCGTCGAGAGCGTTTCGAACGGGAGGAAAGGGCATGTCTGCAGGGCGCGTGCGCTTTGCGGCGTGAGCTCGCGGGAGGGTCGTTTCTTCCCCCCGCCCCGAGGAAGCGAAGGCACGCGGGGGCGGCGTGAGAGCGCGGGGCTGTTGGCTGGGGCGGTTTAGAGCCAAGCGGGGCGCCCCTCCCCCTCTCTTTCTGGGCTCTTGTGTGTGTGTGTCTGTGTGTGTGGAAGGGGGGAGTTGTTGCTTCCCCTTGGTTGGGACGGGATGTCCCAGTAGCGGCTGGAGACCGGCACGGACGGAGGCGTTGAGCGCGAGCAGGACCGCGAGCTGTCCAGGGTGGCTGAAGCGAACGGAGGAAGGAGCGTCTCTTTTTGTGGACAAAGCTGAGCCTGGTAATAATACTTGGAGGTGGAGGAGGAGTGGATGTTCCTGCTAATGGGTTTTATGAGGCAAACGAGAGCGGGGAGGTGTGTGTTTGGGGGGGGGGAAGAGAGGAGGGTTTGTGGCACGGAAAGGCCGTGGGAGACCGAGACCGTCGAGAAGCGGCATCGTAGGGGTGCTGGGAAGAGGTCTGAGGCGAAATGTTCTAAAAGGGGAGCCATTTTGAGGAAATCCGTACCTTGATCGATTATTGAAAGGCGCTATTTGTTGAGCACTCGGAAGCACCAGGTGGGAGAGGCTTGGCTCGCCTGTGATCGATGCCTGAAGAGATGTTCTCACCCTCAGGTGTCTGGTGCAGAAAACGAGAATACAGAAAGGCATGAAAAGAAAACTGCCTCCCCGCGCTATCAGTGGAGAACAATAGAACCCCCCCCATCATATTTTGGTTTTCCTAAATATAGTAGCTGTCTAGAAGTGCTCATCTGCTTCTCTTTTCAAGTTCTACCATTGCTTCTTTGGCTGTGTTTTGCACTGGCATGCTGCTGATGTTTGCATATTTTGTGGTTTAATGTTTCTTGTCTATAAGCATCCTGGTATGGATACGGTGGCTGTTCTGTGAATTAGGTAGAGTTTTCTCTATTTTATTGTAAGAACGTAGATTGTCCTCCCCCCCCCCCGAAACAAAGCTTCTCATAGGTGTGTAAAAAGGTGTCAGTACTCCAGACTTATTTACCCTAAGGTGCATTCTTAGCTTGTCTCCTTGTATTCTTGTTCTATGTTAAACATTGCTTTGAATGTATAGAGTGCACTTTAATGGTTTTGAATGCTAATTCTATTCCACCCAGCATACAAACCAGTTGCAGAGGAGGCATAGAGAGCTAAACTGATGTGCCATCTGCTCAAGAATTGGATTTATCTAGTAGTGTGCACTGTCAGTTCCTGAGCTTTTGCAGCAATTTAGGTAATACTGGTCATGTTCTTTGAAGACTTCATTTAAGACAGAGATTTTCCAATACCATTTGTCCCACAACATCTGGAAAGATGCTCTTTGAGATTGGGGGACCACCCTATAGTGGTTTTTCTGCTTACTGACAGAACTCTTCAAATGCTCGCATTACTAGGGTTAAGTAGTGCTACTAGTTTTACTACTTGTAGTACAAAATACAGCAATAAAAGAGGCTATTAAAATATTGAGAGAGTGAGAACTCTGTCTTTGTTTAGGGGCAAACAAACTTATAGTTCAGTAGTTGCAATTAAAAAGGGGGCATTGTTTCTTCAAGGTGAGATTGCAAAATAAAACCTTAAATATGTGATGGAAACCATTCTAGACAAGGGTGTAACCTGTGGCTCTCCAGAGGTTTTTTGACTACTGTCAGCCCTGGTCAGCATAGGTAATGGTGAGAGGTGGGCATCTGTTGCTAACCGCTCCCCCCCCAGGTCTTGGAGAGAAATAAACCATATTTCTGATGCTTTGTGCAACCAACTACAGTACCCTGTTTCCACGAAAATAAGACCTAACCTGAAAATAAGCCCTAGTATGATTTTTCAGGATGCTCATAATATAAGCCCTACTCCAACAATAAGTCCCAGTTAAGTGAAACCCTGCCCTCCACCATTGTGCAGCAACCAGAAGAAGATGACATGACTGTATTTGAATACATGTAGATTGTTGTACATGAAAAAAATAAAACATCCCCTGAAAATAAGCCCTAATGCATTTTTTGGAGGAAAAATTAATGTAAGACTGTCTTATTTTTGGGGAAACACGGTACAGTATATGGAATAAAGGAAAGCAATTAATGTTCCTTTGAGTATTTTTTGTTTGAGGGGCATAAGCCTTAACTTTCTGGTTGAACTGACAGAATTAATTGATCTCTATTTTATTCTGTAAGAAGTTCCTTAATTCAGATAGACTTTGGGAATATTAATGAGCCCAGTGCAAAGTTGGAATGCATTCAATGCTAATTTAGGGAAAACTAGACAAGACATTAATTGTATGAATGCAATTACTGTAATAGATGTGTTTTAAAAGTGTAATTCTTTCTCAGGTGGAAAATGAGAATTTAGTAATTTACCTGCCTTCTATGGTGACAAATTTTGCAATCCCACAGTGAAAATGGAGGCTTTTTTTGCAATGCAAGTAGCAACATGTATATGCACACTTTTCATTGGGACCTCAGTAATTAGTTTTAATTATTTATCCTCCATAAACCCTGTACTCCTGATGCAGCTCCCTAGCTGTTTGTTTGTATTTTGAATATATGTAAATTATTTCAGTTATATGGTGTCATTGGCAGTTTGACAATATATCACATATATGTATATCCCAGACAAGAATATTGAATTTCATAGTTTACCAAGTTAAAAAGAACATCCACAAAAAGATATAGTAAAACTCTTAGAAAATTTAGAAAGGCTGGAATCTTGTTGGCACAGTTCTGTGCAGGCAAGACTGATGATGTCATCAGCAATGGCCTTTTATCCTTAATTAAAAGTTTCTTAATTCCATCTTGCCAGGTTCTGAAGCTCCCTAAGTGTCTCTTTTGACATAGGGACTGATGGTGGGGAATTCTGGATGTTAAAGTCATCTTGCCTCTTTCCCGAGGCCCCCAAAGACTTCTCAAATCGAAAGGGCCTTGCACATATGGAGCTGAATGAACAGGCCAATGTATTACGGCGTGGAATGCTCCTTTTCAGGGTTCCATCTAGCCACATGTTCTATCATAATATTTCTGTCCATTCCCCTTCGTTTTTCCAGTCCTCTCCAACAACCAATCAAGTTTTCTGTAGCCAGTAAATGTGCTCTTTTGGTTGTTTAGTTGCCCCCTGAAGATGATATTGTAATCTTGATGTTCCCTGAAGCTACTTTTATGTATCTTTTGTATTTGGAAGATGCTATTACCTGGCCAGGGAGCCACACTTGGAAAACATTGTTTATTATAGTAGAGAAAGTTTAGCAAATTCACGTAATTCAATGATACATATTTCTTCACAAAACAAGTTCAGAAATCTAGCAGCAGTATCACAGGAATTTTCTTTGCCCCTAAAACTGTGCTCTCTGAACCCAAGCATTTCAATTGTAAACATGAGGAATTGCTGAAGACTGCATATAAGTAAATATCCAGGTCTGTCAATTAAAAACTGGAGAATTAATGATATTTCCCAGATCATCCTTAGATTTCTTCTTTGGAGAGTTCCGTGACTAGAGTGTTACAATCTGCACACAGATGTACTCGTAATTCCATTATATGAGTGACGTCTAAATGTTCTATACTGAATAGTCTTGCACAGTTCTTGTGAACTTAAGGCCATGGGTTCCTTTACTGAGTCAATCTATTTCGTATTTGATTTTTCTCTTTTCCTTCAACTTTTCTTAATACTGTTGCCTTTTTCATCGAGTCTTGTCTTATGATGTGTCCAAAGTATGATAGCCTCAGTTTCGTCAATTTTGCTTCTATGAAGAGTTTAGACATCATTTGATTTAATTAATCTAGCGTCCACTTATTTGTCTTTCTAGCAGTCTGTAGCTCCTATGAAGCTCTCCTTCAAAACCACATTTCAAATGAATCAATTTCTGTTTTGTTTTGGCTTTCTTCATTCCATACACAGCAATTGAAAATTACATAGTGTAGATGCTCTTTGCTGTGGTTTCCCGTGACATGTTCCTTTTACTTGAGGATCTTTTCTACTTCCTTTATAGATGCAGTCTCAGTCTTCTTCTAATTTTGTGACAGCAGTCTGCAATTCAATTGAAGATTGAACCAAGGTGTAAAAAATCTTTACCAATTTTAATTTCTTCCTTCTTCATTGTTTAGTTGTTTAGTCGTGTCCAACTCTTCGTGACCCCATGGACCAGAGCACGCCAGGCCCTCCTATCTTCCACTGCCTCCCGGAGTTGTGTCAAATTCATTTGGTTGCTTTGCTGACAGTGTCCAACCATCTCATCTTCTGTCGTCCCCTTCTCCATTTGCCCTCACACTTTCCTAACATCAAGGTCTTTTCCAAGGAGTCTTCTCATGAGATGGCCAAAGTATTGGAGCCTCGGCTTCAGGATCTGTCCTTCCAGTGAGCACTCAGGGTTGATTTCCTTTAGAATTGATAGGTTTGTTCTCCTTGCAGTCCAGGGGACTCTCAAGAGTCTCCTCCAGCACCACAATTCAAAAGCATCAATTCTTCGGCGGTCAGCCTTCTTTATGGTCCAGCTCTCATTTCCATACATAGGTTATGCATCGGGACAATACAATGTAAAGGCACACATGTTTTGTTTAAAACTATCCATAGCTTTTTGTGATCCACCCAGTCAAAGGTTTTTCTGTAGCCTTTCAAGCACAGATGGATTGTCATCTGAAATTTTTTGTTACACCCAAGTAACAAATGTATAGTTGCAATATTATCTTCAATACCTAATCCTTTTCAGCATCCAGCTTGGACACTCCTTGCTTCATATGAAATAAAAGTCTTTGCTGCAGAAACCTTGAACATCACTTTGCTTGTATGAGAAATTAATGCAGTACAGTAGTTTTATAGTTAGTGCATTCTTTGGCATTCGAACATTTCCAGTTTGTGGGCCATTGTTTTGTTTTTAAAATTTTGTTGGTGTATTCATCATAGAATTTTGATAGATTTTTTCTTTGTATCTTGGAATAGTTTCATTGGTATCCCATCTATTCCTGGTGATTTTTTCTTCCAAGTGCTTTGAAAACAACTGTCACTTCACTTTATAAAACTGCAGGTTATTCCTCACAGAATTCTTTATTGAAAGAATTGGTCATCTTTGCATTTCTTCTGTGTAGTTCTTCATTGTATTATTTCCATCATCTCTTTATTCTGGTCATATAATATGTTCCCCTTTTGATCTTTGAATAAAAGAGATTTCTTGGTTTTCCGTTTTTCCTCCCTCTCTTCTATTTTGTCCACCTATTATTGTAATAGTTCTCTTTGTCCTTATGTCCAGTATGTTGAAAAGTTGCATTTAAGATTCAGACCTTTTCTGTTTCTTTTTACTTTTGCC